TTTTTTTTCATATGTTGATTATAATTTATTCATTTCAAAGATCTCTTGATCTACTCTTAATGCTACCTCTCTCTCTCTCTCTCTCTCTCTCTCTCTGTCACGCAGCATTTGCTGCATGTGCTGCTGCCACTTCAGTTGACATATCACACACAGTTGTTGTTGTTGTTGTTGTTGTTGTTGTTGCAATCCTCTGTGGGTCGACCCTCAATGCAATTGCTGACTGGATATGAATAATTTAAGCGAAATCAAATCAAATGGGAGCCAAGGAAAAAACAGCAGCATTACTTTATGCAAATGCAGAAAAACGACTGCGAATGCTCTCTATCTGCGAGCATATGCCTAAGCAGACCGCCCACTGGCAAAAGTCCACTCATCGCTCTTCGTTTTGCCTCTTTGGCTAACAGAAATCCACCCACCCGTACACGTCTCTGCTCTCTATCTCTCTCTCACTCATTGTGTGTGTGTGTGTGTGCTGTAAAGCCTTGTGCCAAAAAATATTTGAGAATGACTTTTGACACCGCCTCGCGGCATCCTTTTGAATGCCAGTTGGCTGATGATGACGATGACGATGACGATTTGTATCTGCGCCTCCGCCTTGTCGATGTCAAAGGCCAACCCCCATGGCTGACATCGATGGCCCTTAACATTTTGTCATGTTGTCCGCGCGCTGATTTGATTCCTTTTGATGTTTGCTTTATGCACGCCCAAACGACCATTCGAGTGGCATTTCGCCACAGGTCCAACCATCCAGCCATCTAACCGTCCTTTCCATCTGTTTGATCCGACCATCCGCTAGCCATCATCATTCGTCCGCAATCGCAATCGCACTCTCACTCACACACACACACACACACGCCCACAGCCGCCTTATTTGGCTAATTGAAGTCCTTGGCTATTGAAACCCGAAAACCCACGGCTCTCTAGATCTTACTCAGATAATCTCTGAATCATAAATCCTTGACACTTCTTTGCCACGAACTGATGTCATCATTAATTAAGCTAATTAAACCATATCTGCTCAGTTAGCTAAATAAGTGATTCAGCTGATTATAATGTCGCCAGAAGTCGACCTTTGCTAACAGGTAAATATGTAATACTAAATCTATTTTTAGCTTGACTGCTCTGAGATTATTTAAATACTTATCACTATTAAAATTAGATAAAGCTTAGGCTGGATCTCTTTAGATTTTCCCTAAACATTTGTGAATATATTTGCAGCATATTTTATGATAAAC